CCCCTGGAGGTTCTGAATCAGCACTCAAATCCGAGGAGAAGTGGTGTGACTTCCACAAAGCCAAATCACACAACACCTCGGAGCGTTGAACACTTCAGTCAGCTGGAAAAGGTCAAAAGAAGAAGGGAAAGGAAAGACACAAGGATAAAGGAAAGGAGAAGGAAAAGGCAAATACGGCAGAGCAATCATCTGGACCTGACTCCAAGGAGGAACAGAGTCATATTGCACCGAAATGTGTATATATTTCCAAGCCCCTTGCTAAACGCATTCAAGCTTACCTTGTGTCAGAACCCAATAAAACCAAAACAACAATCATTATTGACTCTGGAGCAATATTCCATATGGTCCCTCACTGCTCCTGGTTTGAGCCAGGAACATACGATGTTCTGTATCCTCCAAGGACAATCAGTTTTGGGGATGAATCCTCTGTAAATGCCATTGGAATTGGAACAGTGATCCTACAAGCAACTGTTGGCAAAAAGGACTACAATTTTACACTGTCTAATGTCTTACTTGTGCCAAACTTCACTTTAGCACTTGTCTCTGTCCACAAATTGTCCAAAATGGGGTTATCAACACTTTTTCCAGCAGGGTCAAATGTTTGTGAAGTTTGGAACTTATCCTCACTGCCTTACACAAGTGAGGACTTTATCACATCCAAGCAAAACCCGAAATCAACCCAGAGTCAGCTTTTGCAACAGTAGATGTAAATTTATTGCACAGGAGAATGGAACACATTGGAATGGACCGCTTGCAACGAATGGTTACAAAAGGACAGCTCCAAAACATAGACACCCTTACCGGAACCCCGGAGTTCTGTGAACCTTGTGCTTCAGAAAAGATGAAGAAATTACCTTTCAAGTCCACTGGAGGAAACCGGGCCAAGCGCCCCATACAAATTGTGCACACAGATGTTGGAGGACCAATCAAACCAACCTCCAGGGAGGGTTTTTGGTACTGGATTATCGTTGTAGATGATTTCTCCAAATTTCCTTGGATATATTTCCTAAAATATAAAAGTGAAGCACTGGAACGATACAAGCAATGGAAAGAAGATGTCCAAACATTCTTCCGGACTCATTTGGGAGAAGAAAACTTCACTTCACTATACACATAATTCCTCTGGAGTGATGGGGGAGGAGAATATACTGGCAATGTATTCAAAAATCAACTTTGAGGAGATGGTGTCCTCCAAGGAAGTACAGCTGCAGATACTCCGGAACAAAATGGCATTGCAGAACGCATGAATCAGACATTGGCTACATTAGCAACCACTATGCTCCATAATTCCAAGCTCCCAAAGTCATTTTGGGTAGATGCCATGCAAACAGCTGCATATATCACAGCACGCAGCCCAGCATCAGGACTCCATGGAAAGGCCCCATATGAAATACTGTTTAAAAGGAGAGTTGATCCAACTTTGTTTCGCCCTTTCAGATGCCAAGCATATGCCTTGATTCCAAAAGACAAAAGGCAAGGGAAGTTTTACTCCAAGGGGCGCAAAGCCATAATGATTGGCTACACACATGGAAAGCAAGCCTACAAACTCCTAGACACCAAAAAACAAACTGTGTTTTCCAGTTGGCATATCATATTCAATGAATCCGGAAAGGTACAAAAGGATGACACTGCTCCCTGGAACACAGACACTAGCACAGATCAGTGGGAGGGACTCATTCCAGAGAATGCTCACTATCCAGACCAAAAAACATTGGAGGAGGATGATCCTGACCCTCAAATCTGAGATCCAAATGAATTGCAAATGGAACCACATCTCCAAGGAGATGTTCCACAAGCAATGGAACCATATCAGCATCCGAGAGCAGTGGGGCAATACCTCTGTGTAGACATTCCGAGAGCAGTGGGAGCACCTGATCAGCTAAGACACCCTCCATAACAGTCTCTACAACCAAGACCTAAACACTGGCCATCTTCAGAACGGAAAGCCAAAGTAGAGTGACAGTCAGTGGGAGGACAGCCCCTCAACATACAGCCAGCTGATGTGGAAAAAGTCCGAATACAGCTAGACAGCCTGTCTGTTGGATCAGCTTCTGGAAGGCATACAACACCTCCAAGGAGTCATCCAACGCCTCCGAGGAGTGATTCAACACCTTCAGGAGTGAGTGGGGCAACAAATACACAAATGCATCTACTCCCTGGAGTACCTGCACAAGTTCCTAAAAGAGCATTCATGCCTGCTGAAGTCCTAGGAGTACGCAGAAGCAGTCGCCAGACCCGTCCTGCAGACAAAAACCGAGATTATCAAAGGACTCTAGATGAGAAACAGTCTCGAAAAGAGCAGCATGACAACTCCATGGAGAAACCTAACACTCCTGAGGTTCATGAAGAAACATCTGATACAGAGGAGACATTCTTTGCTGGAATAGCAAGTACCGGTCCATCTAACACAGACCTTCCAAGGACACTAAAGGAAGCCTTATCACGTCCGGATGGAGAATTATGGAAGTCTGCCTTGGAGGAGGAACTCCTAAGTCTCAATACTAATGCAGTATATGACACTGTTCCACTTCCGAAGGGAGTAAAACCCATCACATCAAAACCTGTGTTCCGGATCAAGTTTGATCAAAACGGAAACATTGAGAGATACAAACTCCGGATTGTTGCACGAGGTTTTACTCAAAGGGAGGGGATTGATCACCAGGAGGTTTTTGCTCCGGTTGCAAACTCAGAGTCAATCCAAATTATTCTAGCCCTGGCAGCAAAGTACGACCTAGAACTTGATCAAATGGACGTATCCACAGCTTATCTCAATGGAGAACTTGAAGAAGAACTGTACATGCTTCCTCCAGGGGGTGTTTCTATCCAACCTGGATACTGCTGGAGATTGAAGAAATCCATCTACGGGTTAAAACAAGCTGGTCGTACATGGAACAAAACTTTTGATCGCAAGCTCCAGGAGCTCGGTTTCACAAGACTAAAGGCAGAAACATGTCTCTATGTATTCTGGGACAATGAACAAATATGCTTTGTTGTTGTCTATGTAGATGACCTCCTCTTAGGAGCTTCATCCCAAAAATTCATGGATATCACAAAAGCCAAACTCGAATCCATATTCAAAATGCGGGACCTTGGAGAAGCAAAATACATCCTCGGAATAGAAATCCAATGTGATCGTTCAAACAAAACAATATCCCTATTGCAACGCCAATACATTGACACAGTCCTGGAGTGTACTGGAATGAAGAACTGCAAACCAGTATGGACACCAATGGCCCATGGATCAAAACTCCTTGCAAATGCTTCAGGGGAAGATATTGTGCAACACGATATGCATATTGAAGGGTGTCAAGTGTCATACCTCTCAATTGTAGGCTCCCTCATGTATGCCATGCTTGGAACCCGCCCAGACATTGCCTACATTGTTGGAATACTAAGCAGACATAGCTCAGCTCCAAGGAGCCATCACTGGGAAGCTGCAAAATGTGTCCTCTGATATCTGAAAGCAACCAGGGACATGGAACTACAATATAATGGCACAGATGTCTCCATGGACATGGATTTCTATGGATATTCAGATGCAGATTGGTCTGGAGACCCAGACACGTCTTGATCAACATCAGGGTTTGTCTTTATCATCATCCGAGGAGCAATCTCCTGGACAAGCAAAAGACAAAGCATGGTAGCTTTATCCTCCACGGAGTCAGAGTACATTGGATTGAGCAATGCTGGACAACACCTTGCATGGCTTTGGACATGTTTTGAAGAAATTGGACATGCTCAAAATGGACCTACAACATTGCACTGTGACAATCAAGCAGCTATCATTCTTACACGAGATCCACAGTTCTGTGCTCGCACAAAACACATTCAACGGAAATATCATTTTATCCAAGATGACTTAGTATCAAAGGGAGAGGCAGTAATCAGATACGTTCCTACAGGAGATATGGTTGCAGACATTCTCACTAAACCCCTCACTCATGAAAAACACTGGAAATTCTCTAAAGCTATGGGACTACGGTTGCACTTGAGTGGGAGTGACAAAACCGGATAAACCCGGTCTCTGCCGAGTAATCTGAGGTGATGAATGAGATAATAAGAGTCCCAGAAGACAATGGTTATGATGGATGAGCAGTAGGACACTTGGATGGTGAGATATGTGGTCAGGAAGATGGCTAGAGCACAGGGCTCATAACCTATTAAGAACAAAGCTTGAAGGAAGTGTCTAGCCACTTGCTGAGAGCAATCAGGGACTGGAACTAGAGTCCAATGTGAGTAACTTTATTATTAGAGAGTATGACAGGTATACAGTACCTAGAGTCCAATGTGAGTAACTAGAGAATAGGAAGCATTGGACTCTGCAGTACTGTCCGAAGTTTTGTAAACAAAGGTAAACAAAGCAGCCACAAAGGCAAAATACTAGAGAACACAATCAATAGTGAATGATAGAAGAATAGATAGAGAAAGGAATGAAAATTTATAGGTAGCACATGTTATGATAACACAATTTTTGGACCTTCCCTTTACTTTTATTCTCCACTTTAACCTTGTACTTTAGCTTTCATACATGGTGCCACGTGGCACTTCCCCTTTTGTCCAAACTCCTCTTTCTCGCGCTGCGTTGCCTTTCTTCTTATTATAGATACAACTCTCTCACACAGTGGAGCTGGCCATGCGGGCTAGGCCCTATGACATCATCAGCTACTGTCTTGATCAACTGTATAGTACACATGCACAAATAACCCTGTAGTAGTATATATACCCCAATAAATCCAGGAGACTCCTCAGCGAGTCCTCCTGTTGTATACCAACTAACTCTCTGCATCTTAAGGGGTAGCCACCCCCTCTTCATTCTCTTTATAGTGTGTTCCTGTGTGCGCCAGAGTAACTAACTCTTGGTTGTTACAGCACAAAGGTGCAGAATCACCAAAACTAACACCGAGTCACAAAAACAATGCTGCACAAGGTCCAGCATTTCAGAAGCTGCCAAGAAACACCAGCCAGAAAAGGAGGCCTCCAAGAAGGCAACAGATTCAGGTATGGACATTGACAATAACATTACAGTCACAAAAATGTTGATGCCTCCCCCATCCAGCGGTAAGTTTTCATTTGACTCATTAATATCTATCTAATACAGCATTTCTAGTACTCACACAAAAGTCTCTTCCACAGCCGTCATTTCTCACTGCCATTTCCAAGGCTAGGAACAAGAAGTACAATATTGATTTCATACAGGTTGATGCATCCTTAGAAAACCTGAAAGGTTTTTTTTCCCTTTCAGAGTCTCACATTGTCTCCTACTAACATACTTCTAGCTATTTTATATAAGGACTTCCCATTTGCCAGTGTCGGTCTCCACCTCCTTGACACCATGGAGCTTGACCCCGATTTCTCTCCAGGCCCTACTTCCCCTTAAGCATTCAGTTTTATTGAGCGGATTGAGCAGGTGGACCCAAACTCCCCCCAATTTGATGAAAATAACCATGGCTTGTACTGGGGGCACCACCAATTTATGTTAGGGCCTATGATATGCTCAACAGTACTAACATCTTGGGAAGTCATAGGTACCTGCAAGGTAGCAAGCCGCTTTATTGCAGCTGCAATCAAAACATGTATGGTTGCACAACACATCTGCTTTCAAGATAAAATTCCTTCTGCCGCTTTCCTTGCAGACACCTACCTACAGAGTGCCATTGAACGTGTTTGGGAAGTCTGGAGAGCCGCTGGGGGGGTAATTACTCCCATTCATCTTTATAATATTCACGCTAATTTATTCTTCAGCCCCTGCTAAAAGGGAAGGGCACTTCCTTTATAGTGGACCCGGTGCTTTCTCCAATGAATCCCCCCTCTGTGTCCGACTATCATCTTTGGCCTGGATCACCTTCCTCGTCATCCAATATCTTCTTACAGCAACTGTTTCCTAGCACACTAACTTCAGCTGCATTGGAATTATCAGGCCTCAGTGTACTTGCATCAGTTGCTGCCGTCACTCCCTCAGCAGGTCCGACTGCCACAGCTGAATCTGAATCACCAAGCGGAGAACAGCAAGCAGATCTTGACGTGAGTATCTGATTTCTATCTACAAGCCTACAAGTTACTCACATTTATTATTATGACACAGATATTCAAAAAAGATGATCTTATTGAATGGATGAAGAATCATAAGGTTCCTCTTCCAAGCCTCAAGTAGTGAATGGAAAAAGGCAAGCAGCATGACATGTTTATATTATTTTATCAATATGATGTATCTCTACAGATCTTGTCACTGTGATTCTGGCCTTGCCGCCTGAAAAACAATCTTCAAAATCTGAGGTTGCATTACTTATGACTAATGTAAGCTTTTATCCTACTTTTCAAATACTTATACTAATGACTTTCACTCCAGCAAAAAATGAAGAAGGTCCCTCACAAGGCCACAAGAACCTAATGAATATCATCATCAATTATTGCAGAGGGATGCATGTGTACAATTAGGACTTGTTGTCATTCTTAGGGCTCAATTGCAGGTTGATTTTTTTCAAGTTTGCTTTCCTTCTTTCATTGTAAAATTGTCGTATTTTAAAGACCTTGTATTAGTATGTTTCAAAATCTCATGGTAGTTCATTTATTGACTGTGCATGCTATGTATGGAGTAAACATAACTATTATGTGACTAAGTGCGACTACAATACTGACTATTAATGACTAGGTCTTGACTGCAGCTTGACTATGTTCAACTATGCTAGACTGCAAACGCAACTACAGCTTGACTACAGTCAGACTATGCCAGACTGTGGGCTTGACTAAACCAGACTACAATTAATGCTACATTTATTGGTGAGACTTGACAATAGTAGACTAGGTTGGACTATTCTGACATATTTTAGTCCTCAAAATACACGATTCTTGCAGATCGGACTAATCCCGGACTATATATGACTACAGGCGACTATTTCTGACTAATGCTTTTTACTGAGTGTGATGGGTCAATACACCCAAGTACAACTCCAGGAGTGCTACATTGCCAAACACTGGCCCACCTAGGACAATCTCAAGGGGGAGATCAAAAAATATTTCAAACCCCAAGCTGAGCATGACTGGGTGCACCAGCAAATCCGTTCCTTCAAACAAGGAAACATGAGGACAGATGACTTTGTTACCCGATTCCTGGCCCTCTCTATTCAAGAGGGTCTAGGTAATGAACATGCAGGAGAGCTGCTAGAACGCAATGTGAACCCCCACATTGCAGAACAGCTTTATCTGCAGGATATTCAAAGGGAACTGCTACAACTGTGGCCAAGAGGAACACATGTCCTGAGAGTGTAGAAACGGGGCACAGGCCGCCCAACAAAAAAATAACCAAGGGTGCCAGGCACACCAATTAGAAACAGAAAAGCCGGACAATTGGCTCAATAATCCGGCTGATCATTTGTACAATGAAATCCGAGCCTTCTTTTACAACCAACGGGTTGCTGAACTGAAAGCTCAGGGAAAAGAGTTTGGATCTTAGATCACTTAGGTGCCTTCGGTCCTTTTAACAATGAAGTAAACCACAACAATGTGGCCCCTGCTCTGGGGTGTGGCACAAGCAATAAAGGAAAGGGGGTGGCTCCCCAATTTCTACATAAATTTCTAAATTTGTTATCTGAAGTACGTACCTGTATAAAGAATTGTAACTGTTGTTATGATAACACAATTTTCGGACCTCTCCTTTATTTTATTCTCCGCTTTAACCTTGTACTTTAGCCTTTACACATGGTGCCACGCGGCACTTCCCCTTTTTCCAAACTCCTCTTTCTCACGCCGCGTTGTCTTTCTTCTTATTTTAGACACAACTCTCTCACACAGTGGAACTGGCCATGTGGGCTAGGCCCCATGACATCATCAGCTACTGTCTTGATCAACTGTATAGTACACATGTACAAACAACTCTGTAGTAGTATATATACCCAAATAGATCCAGGAGACTCCTCAGCGAGTCCTCCTGTTGTATACCAACTAACTCTCTGCAGCTCAAGGGGTAACCACTCCCCATTCACTACCCTTATAGTGTGTTCTTGTGTGCGCCAGAGTAACTAACTCTTGGTTGTTACAACTGTGATATTTATGACACTACCGCTGCACGAGTGTCTCCCCAGGAGTGTGGCCCCAGCAAGACAAGCACTAGGATGCTTGATCCTGGTAAAAATAAAAATAAAAATATAGAAAATCTTAAAGTAGAAAAACATGTGTCTTTTGATGTTTCTTCTTCTTCTCCAGAGCCACTTTCCAACCAAATCCCAAGGTGTGTGTTGATGCGCCACATATTTATTCCAATGTAAGATCCATTTAGATGTTGGAGTGGAAAACCTTGCTCGGGGCATAGTACACCCAACCAGCGCACTGCTTGATTCAGGTGCTAACAGAATTGTCATAGATCAGGTCTGGGCGCAGCAAGTTGGACTCCCCCTTGTATAATTAGATGTATCTATTCCCGCCTATAATATTAATGGTACACCTAATGCAGGTGGCTGCATTACACACAAATGTTCCTTTGTTGTTGAGTATCAAGGACACAGAGAACGAGTCACTGCTGAAGCTACCCAACTAGGGAAGATTAATTTAATCTTATGCTGGACCTGGCTATTTAAACACAATCCTGAGATCAACTGGCAGACAGGGGTTGTTACATTGTCACATTTCCCTCAGGAGTGTGATGACTTGGGTAAGCCAAGTCATGTCCGTCAAACTGAGCTTGACAAAAGGATAAACGCTAGTCACATTTATGCCAAACTCAGATCTTTGGATAAGATTGACAATAACGAGGATGAGGTAAAACCTGAGGAAGAGATTAAGAGGCTGGTACCTCCAGAGTACTATGACTTCTGGAAAGTCTTTTATAAACATACATCAGAGCGCTTGTTACAATTGACATACCAGCACCTACTTACGCTTCACTTTTTGTACTTTTACTTTTTATTTTCCAAGTCACATGACTGATCATGTGACCATTGACTTTACTTTACATTTTCGGACTTTTCATAAGTTACATGACCAGTCATGTGACACATCACCTGACCAGTGTCTAGGCTCACAATGTGACTGGTCACATGCTAAACATCGGACTTTAAACTTTATTTACAACTGTACAGTACCTCGTGTATTTTAGTATATATACAGGAGCAATACATGGGGAGGGACTCAGCGAGTCCTCCTGTTGTCTACCAACAACTAACTTGTTGAAACCTAATGGGTAACCACTCCCACCTCTTCCTCTTTTTTTGAGTGTTGTTTTCATTGTGCTCCAGTGCCCCAAGACTGTGTCTCGTTAGTGTTGTCACAGTGCTTCCCACAGGCTAAGCCTTGGGACCATGCTATAGATTTGAAGGACACCTTCAAACTGCAAAAAGGATATATGATTACTCTGTCTGCACCAGAAAGAGATGAGGTTTTAAGTTTCATAGATGAACAGCTTAAGAAGGGTTACATCAGACCTTCCAAGAGCCCTATGACATTCCCGGTGTTTTTCATTCCTAAAAAGGATAGTAAGAAGTGTATGATTATGGACCATCATTACTTGAATAAGTACATGGTTAAAAACACGTATTTGCTGCCTTTGATCAGTCAGCTAGTAGATAAATTGGCTGGTGCTAAAATCTTGACAAAAATGGATCTCAGGTGGGGATACAATAATGTACACATCAAAAAAGAAGGTGCTTGGAAGGCCACATTCACGTGCCACCAAGGATCATTTGAGCCCCTTGTCATGTTTTTTGGGTTGACCAATTCACCAGCAACCTTCCAGAGCATGATGAATGAGATCATTGCGGATATGGAAAACTGTGTCATCATTTGCATTGATGATTTAATAATATTTACAAAGTCGGATAATGAGGCTAAGCACAACAAGATCGTGCAAGAAGTCCTTTGATGCTTACAGTAATGGGACCTATTTGTCAAACCCTGAAAATGTAATTTTAAAGTGAAGGAAGTAGACTTCCTTGGTATGATAATTGGCCAGAATGGAATCAGGATAGATCCTGTAACAGTTCAAGCTATATTGGATTGGCCTGAACCTACTTGCGTCAAATGAGTTGGGGCCTTCCTTGGCTTAGGCAATTTCTACCGAAGGTTTGTTGAAATCTTTGCAAAAATAACAAGACCGTTGAACAATCTCACTAAAAAAAATATTGTTTGGCCCTGGGGCACCAAAGAACAGGAAGCTTTTGATAATCTTAAACAGGCATTTACAACAGCGCCCATATTAGCATTTCCCCAATTAGATAAAGAGTTCTGGCTAGAAACTAACTCTTCTGATTTTGCTACTGGGGCCGTTTTGTCAATCAAATACCCTGATGATCTTTGGAGGCCTTGTGTCTATTTATTGCATAGTTTGTCGCCCACAAAGTGCAACTATCAGATTTACAACAAGGAGATGCTGGCCATCAATAGAGCTTTAGAGCACTGGCAGTGCTACTTAGAAGGTGCTAGGCACTAATTTGAAATTTGGACTGATCATAAAAATCTAGAGTATTTTATGATGGCCCGGAACGTGAACCAAAGGCAGGCCGCTATGCGGTGTACTTCTTTAGGTTTAATTATAAATTAATTCAAAAACCAGGTACTTCTATGGGGAAAGCGGATGCTTTATCTAGAAGAGAGGATTATGCCAACGGCATCGAGAATGGCAACAAAAGTGTCACCCTGATAAATCAATCCAGGGTTGCCAATGTTTGAATCAGGCAAGACTCTGATCTTCTAGAAGTCTTCAAGAGAGACATCTCCTCAGAAGAGAAGGCGCACCTTGATGGCAATGAACATTAGAAGATGGGCTCTTCCATTACAAGGACAATATCTATGTGCCTGAATTTGCAAAGATTAGGGCAATAGATAGACATCATGACACTCCAGTGGCTGGGCACCCTGGGTGGCAATGAACAATGGAGTTGATCTCCAGAAACTACATGTGGCCTGGCATGGTCAAAGACGTACAGGAATACATAAAATCCTGTCTGAGATATGCCATGACAAAGAACTCTTGCCAACCGCCAGCTGGTAAACTTAAGACAAATCTGATACCAGGTGGTCCCTAGCAGGATATATTGGTTGATTTCACAACAGATTTACCCGAGTCAAATGAGTATGATTTGGTAATGGTGGTAGTAGATTGCTTCTCCAAAGAAGTGGTATCTATTCCCACAAACAAAACTATCACAGCCGCTGGTATAGCAGACTTATTTAAAGATTTTTTATGATCTACACACAGGTTACCGGAAACAGTTATCTCCAATAGGGGACCCCAATTCGCTAGCAAATTTACAAAAGAACTTTGCCAGATACTAGGCATCAAACCTATATTATCAACAGCATTTCATCCGCAAACAGATGGACAAATGGAGAGGCTCAATCAAGAATTGAAGCAATACCTCCGTATATTTTTTAATGACAGGCAGACACATCAGGAAAAAACCTTTTGCTATATAGCAGAGGGGTTTGTACATATGTGCACATAAAGACTTTTATAGCACCTATGTATAGCATTTATAGCATTATAAGAGTAACTATATCATTATCACTGTCCCTATAGTACTTTATGAGCAACTATAGTATGATCATAGTGACTATAATGTTATATGAGCAATAAGAGCAATGGGAGCAACAAAAGCAATAATAGTATTTGTTACGATAACACATTTTTGGACTTTCCCTTTACTTTTATTCTCCGCCTTAACCTTGTACTTTAACCTTTACACAAGGTGCCACGCGGCATTTCCCTTTCTCGCGCCGTGTTGCCTTTCTTCTTATTTTTTAGACACAACTCTCTCACACAGTGGAACTGGCCATGCAGGCTAGGCAGGGTATTTTGCTATGACAAGCCTTTGGTCTTGGAATTTGGAATGAGGGAATTTGTCTTCTTCATTATCCATGGTCATTTTCAGATAGCTCTGAAAAGCGACCACCTTTTCACGACGCAGAAGCCATGTCACCATTTGTGGTGCTTCATTTGTTTTATTATAAGCACTCCAACCCTCTTGTGCAATGTCAATATAGAAGCGCTCAAACATCTTGGTGTTGTAATGGTTGATGGAGAATATTGGGGGAAACAGATAAATGAATGTCGCAATGAGGGAAGTTAAGCCAGAATGGCTCATAAACACCACCAGAGACATTGTTATCCTTGCATCTGTATTAGTTCTAGCGTTCTGAATGACTTTTTCTGTCTAGTTTTGCATACATGGCTCTCTAGGAGTAGATCCTGAAAGCTCAGAAGCAGGCCTTTTGCATTTGGGACAGGTGCCATACTTTGTACCTGTCACTAGACATTGTTCTGAATATTCTGTAACATAGCAAGCCAAAACAGGATGAACTCTCCTGATAGCCCCATCACCCCCAGTGATGTCTATCTCTTCAATGCCAGCCTTCTTCAAAGGTTTTAGTATGACCGTGGGATAGTGAGTGCTCATAGACCTTACTATTTGTGGCAATGCAGTGATAGTCAAAGGTGTCAATTCTTGTGCTGCTTGAAGTATAGAAGTACAGAGTAAAACAAATACAGTAGTACAGAGACAAAAGTGATAAGACATTTTACAAGTACCAGTTTACAAAGCGCAATATTGGTGTTTGTGATCACGAGAGTCAGGGAGACTAGACATCATCAGGAAAAAGCTTTTTTCTATATAGCAGAGGGGTTTGTACATATGTGCAAATAAAGACTATTATAGCATCTATAGCACTTATAGCACTATAAGAGCAGCTATAGTATGATCCAAGTCCCTATAGTACTTAGTGACTTCTCATTTGTGCTTCATTCTCTTTTCACTTATTTCTCACAGTCTAATTTTTCAATGGCAGGCAAAAGAAGTTCCAAGGGTAAATCTAAAGCTCCTCGCTCAAAGGCTAAAAATGATACAGTTACTTTGAGTGCTGAGGAGTATCAGTGCATTGTGGATGCTATGAATTCTGATGTGCAATCTACCCAAGCAGCTCAAAAAGAGGCATTGGAAGCCAAACATCAAGGTAACATGTATATTCTGGTTGGTAAAAGTATATTGATCTCCCCTCTCAGAGACAAGAAAAAGGACAGCTGTTGTAATGGAAGAAGAGGATCTTTATGACTATGATGATAACCCAGTTACGCCACTAAACCCTCCTAGAAAAAGACAAGCCATGGACTCAGACTGTGAGGCAACGATAAACTATAACAAAAACAAAACCTGTCTCCTTCTGCACTTGCAGGGAGTAAGGGGTTTGATGAGCTTGAGGTCGACAGACGCTAGTGAATATAGCGAGTAGAGGACTTGAGAGGTAAGCTCAAGGGTTTTTGTTGAAGAGTAAAGCGGGTAAATTCAGTAATAGAAAACTAAGGAACTATACATAAATAGGTAAGGCTTTATATAGTGAACTGTTTGTCCCTCAGACCGAAAGGAGAATAAACGAAAAGTGGTCTGAGGAATAAATTGTCCAATAAGAAAAAGAGAGAACAACTATTGTACGACTTTAACTTGATTAATCAGCGGGTGAGAGATTTGTACTAATAATAGATGTTTGTTACGCGTGTTCAGGAACTGTATCCTCATGATGAGGTACGATCCTGATCAAAGTGTTTATTAGTATATCCAGGCCTTAATGGGGCTTGGAGCTGGTTGGCGAGATGCCTACTACCAGTCCCTACCCATTGTGCTGGCTGGCTGGGAGTGATACCCAGTCTCTTATCTGTGATATAAAGTGGTAACGATGGTTAAGAAAGCCTGTGAGGGCTATGAGAAGTAATATGGCAAATGATACCTCTAGCCCTAGAGCCAGAGGTGTAATGGGAAAAGCGTTCGAGAACCAAGACATAGAGAAGATAAGGAAATAATAAAATGGTCCTTACACAGACCATGATTCCAATGAGGATGTTTTTCAAAGGATCCTAACTCAGAAAGCACCTACAGGGGGAAATGATGAGTATTACTATTACAAGGATGAGGAGTCCAGAGCTGAAAGTAAGGGCTCATACGGGATCAAATTTCTTTTCCTTTTTTCTTCTTTTTTTTGAGATTTTCCTCCCTGGCCAAAGCCTTGCCGTTCTAGCGAAGACACAATTGTAAAGTTCCGCAACCCATCAATAAGATAGTACTCAGGCTAGGACACCATGTCATCAGCTATCAGCTGTACCGCCTATATGAACCCAGACACCAATTGTAACAACCAAGAGTTTGTTACTCTGGCGCACAACTAGAACCAACTATAGAGATGATGATGAGGGTGTAGTTACCCATTAGACTTCAACAAGTTAGTTGTGAGGATACAACAGGAGGACTTGCTGAGGAGTCTGTACATGTTGTACTATACAGTTGATAAAGCAGTGGCTGATGATGTCAGAGGGCGCAGCCCGTGTGACTAGCTCCACTACATGAGAGACTTGTAGCTAAAATAAGAAGAAGGGCAGTACAGCGCGAGAAAGAGGAGTTTGAACAAAAGGGAAAGTGCCGCATGGCACAATGTGAGAAGACTACAGTAAAAGGTTAAAGAGGAGAATGAAAATTAAAGGTCCAAAAATGTGTTATTGTAACACCAATCCTGCAACTTGTACGGTGGGAGATGATACTTGTGATTCAAAGGGGCAAGATGGTTTGAATGTTGTAGCTAATGACCAGCTAATGACGAGCCAACAGCAGATGTACTTGGCCCGTTTACAGATGTCAAAACTAGCTTCTATTGTTGTCGAATCAATTGCACACGCTACTCGGGCTATAGTGGAAGAACAAGTGCAATGCCCCAAACCAAGACCATACCACAACTTGGTCCTGACAGGCTATGGATGGGTCCGGGAATTGATAGATGGGCATCCTGATTGTATCAGGACGGAGCTTGGGGTGCGGCAGGAAGTTTTCTTGAAGTTGTTAGATTTATTGCAGGCCAATGGATACTCAGATTCAAAGCATGTGTTGATTGAAGAACAACTCGCCATTTTTCTGTACACTTGTGTGACAGGATTGTCCATCCGCCACATCACCAAACATTTCCAATGATCCAATGATACAGTCTCTAGGTACTTCAAGAGAATGCTTGAAGCTTTCACTTGCCCTAATATCTACAACATGTATGTACGTCTACCAGATGCCAATGCCCCTACGCCATTTGCCATCAGCAATAACCTGAAGCTTCGCCATTTTGCGGGTGCCATCGGTGCAATTGATGGCACCCATATTGTTTGCAGTCCTTCTGCCGCAGAACGTGCAGCCTCTTGCAATTGGAAGGGTTTAGTCACCCAGAACTTCTTGATGTGCTGTGACTTCGATATGAAGTTCATATACATGCTTAGCGGCTGGGAGGGGTCAGTTGCAGATGCCAGCCTGTTCCATGACGCTTGGACCCATGACCTGTACATCCCTCATCATCGCTACTATCTCGCTGATGCGGGATTTCCTTCATGTGATCAATTGCTGGTCCTCTACAGAGGTGTCCGCTATTATTTGGCCAAATATGCTCAGGGAAATTGCAGGTAATGTACAGCGTCTATTTACTATGTTACAGTAGACTAAAAATCATTTTTAAGACCTCAAAATCCTGAGGAATATTTTAATCTATGCCATGCATCTGCGCAAAATATTGTGGAGCAAATGTTTGGTGTATTGAAAGGCCAATTTGGGGTTTTGAGGGTCGCTATAGAGTACAACATGTCCATCCGAGCCAAGGTTCCACCTGCAGTCTGTATGCTGCACAATTTCATCAAGACCCACGATCCCTCTGACATCAACACTCCCAATGACATCAAGCTCCTCAACCCTACTCCTGAGGTCGACAATGGTGAGCTTTCTCACGTCCCACCAATGGAGGCAAACTGTACTGCCACCAATAATTGCCATGATTGGATTGCTCGCGCTATGTGGATTGATTATCAGCAGGAGCTAGGTAGAAGGGGCCTACTTTAGTTTAGATGTTTTTGCATCCTTACAATATGATTTGTTACCAAGAATGCATTCAGATTCAGTCAACAAAAGCAAAATGTTAGATTTGTTAAGAGACACACAGTACTACAAGATAACAAGATAAATGATACAACAAAAACACAGGTACACATTACAGTACACTAAAGTCCATCCACATTGTCTATCTTACTCCAGCTTTGAATTTACATATGCCTTGTGAAGTTCGTCGGATTCTGGGAGACTGCGGTACGTGTCCATGGCTATGACATAAATGTAATAACTTAACAGTACTGTCAACTCCCAGATATTTGTCATGTTGCATCATGAAGGTGATAGCGGCACGACAACGAGTATGGGCCGGCTGCATAGACAAGCTGCCTTGCAAGGTATCAGTTGCAGTAGGGGGAGTAATGGAGGTAGTGGCAATGGGCAGCACAGTGGTAGACGTGGTGGAGCAGTTTTCCACCCAAGCCGTTTGCGAAGGGGCAATAACTGGGGAGGCAGGTGGAGCAAGGCCGATGTTGAGTTTTGAGTTGAAGTCCTTGAAGATGGGGATGATTTCCCCCAACCGGTTGTTCAACCCACTGAGAGAATTGGCAGTGGTGTTGCGCGGGGCCTTGTTAGAGCCTCTGCTGCCATTGCCTGCACTTTTGGTGCGAGATATGATGGTAGCGCCATCCTCCGCGTCATCGTCTGAGAGTGTGGCATCTCATGCAGAGCGCTTGCTGCTGATAGTTGTTATAGATGAGGTGGTGGGAGCACAGATAGATGTTGGAGACTCAACACCACCAAGCCAGCTTTTTACGCCACCAGATGATTCAGGGCTGGTGGTGCTGGTATTCATTACAGAGGCACCGGTGTTAGGCTGATTAGAGGGAACATTGACGGAAGGTGGTAGTTTGGGGGCTTTGGGGACAGAATGCAGCCTTGAAATTCAAACTGTCCCCACCCTCTGTGCTGTTGGTGGTGATGAACTGGATAAGAGCCGATGTCTTTGCTTCACTTCAAATGACATTGTTGCTACTGTTATCTTGGGCGCCTGCGCCATTGCCTTCTTTAACATCCATTGCAACCTCGGTAAACATGTCCTGAGCAGGCTGGAGATTTTGATTCATCCTGGTAGAATGTCGCAGTCGTTTTGGTGAAGGAACTGGGACTAGGGTTGGGCTGGAGGCCCTGCATTTTTTTGCTCTAGACATAAGGTTGATGAAAGTATGATACCTACCCATTCATAACTTATGGGATGGATGCCTATCCGTCTCTCTGACGGCATTCCAGCATATTGTGGCTGAAAAAAACAAAAAATGTCAGGAAAAATAGAGTTCCCGTACGAGCCCTAAGCAATCATTATTTTTAGACAAAAATACTAATATTAAATTGTTACCCAAGATTCCAATGACGGGGGAAAAGATGGACTAATTCTGGATGAGCAAGTACGTCTCTAAATTAGTATCTTTTACATCCATAGAGCTAACAGCTTATATTAGCCCAATTTCAAACCCATTGTTGGGCAGGAAAAGGCTAAATCATTGGTGTACTCCTCTTCTTCTACTTTTTCCAGAAAATCTTCCATGCCTTCATCCAGGATGTTTTCAACTTTTACTTATATCTCAACACCTACGGCTGTCTCTTTACTGTCAAAAATTGGCAAAAGACGTAGAATCACCCTGGATATGTTTCCTAGTTCTTTTGTGGACCTTGCTACAGCTGGGCATGCTACAATGAGATTATACATTGCAGCTCAAGAGGGTTTTCCTCCCCCCACATCACACTTTGAGTTTACTTGGAACAGACTTATTGATGCCTCCCAATGTTGCAGATAATTACAAACCAAGCTTTAGAGGTTCAAAGTAATGAAGAAATCAAAACCATATTGATTGACTATGTACATATTTCCACCTCCAATAATGTTATACTAATCAAGTATCTTGTTGCTAGGTTTGGTCTGGTCTGCTGTTGCCCAGGTTTGAGGAGAAATTGTTGCCAAAGCCATTATCTAGGGATTGATGAAGACCAGATGAAGGATGAGGATTTTGGTATTGATTTTGAAGCTCTAGAGGATACTATCATTGCACAAGCTGCTTGATAGTATTGTAGTCACTCTCCTATTTACTGTTGCATATAGTACAATTGCTAGTACAAAATATGACTGCGCTGTTTTCATTTCATTATTTGCTAATTGAATGCAATATGTGCTATGAGTGCTTTGATTACTATAGGTACTATGGATGTTCTAATTGAAATAAGTGCTATGGCTACTCCAAGTGCCATTATAGTATTAGCATTACTATACCTATGTCTACTCTAAATGCCATCATAGTATTGACATTACCATAGGAGCTTCTTGGAACTATAGCCAACTATGAGATCACTATATAAGCACATTGTGCCTAAATAGATGATGGGGTTTCTCTTACAGCTATGATCACTATGACAGCTATTTTTGCAATTATAGTACTATAAGAGCCTATATAGCCAAAGTGTTTTTCCTGATGCATGTAAGCAGTCAGAACACACTCTCTCCTCTTGAGAACATTAAGTGCCAGAGTATGTGCACAAGTTGATCTCATAAGATCAGACAAAGTTGATTTAGAATGCTTAGCTGATGAAGAATACCTAGGTATGCTCCCCCCACTACCTTCCCCTGCAACATGCAACATCACAAGTGGGGGAGCAAGGAAGTTGAATTTATTGTTGCTTGAGCGCCAGAGATCCAAGTGAGGTACAAGCCCTTTTGGCCTTGCAAATGGCTGTCTCAATTTTCTCCACTTCTTCTTGCTACGTTGTATAGCACATAATACGTCAAGGAGGACTTGCAAAACTGAGGTATGGGTGGTAGGAGTCAACACAAAGAAGGGGGTAGGGCCAAGTTTGACAAATATTTCAGGAACAAATATTGCCGAATTGAAAAATGTGCTATGCAGTTGCTCAAGATAGGGGATCATAAACACAAAATAGTGTGAAATATGTCTGTTGAGAGAACTACGGAGGTTATCAGCCTTGCCAAACATTGTGAATTTATGATGAGCCGCATCAAGACGAGTAAACTTGTTGTCAAATTCAGGGTTGAGCCATTTTCTGATGACCTCTTGCTCCATGAATATTGCATCCCTAAATTGGCAGGGCTGCTCCAGTAACACACACATAGCTAGAATAATCTAATAGAAGACTATCAGGGCATTTGATTGACAAAACAGCCCCAGTAGCAAAATCAGATGAGTCGGTTTCTAGCCAAAACTCTTTGTCTAATTCCGGAAATGCTGATATAGGTGCTGTTGTAAATGCCTGTTTAAGCTTATCAAAAGCTTTGAGCCACCCCCTTTCCTTTAATGCTCGTGTAACACCACGGAGCAGGGGCTACCTTGTTGTGGTTTACTTTATTGTTAATAGGAGCGAAGGCACCCAAGTGACCTAAGCTCCAGAATCTTTATCACATAGTTTGTCGCCTACAGAGCACAACTATTAAATTTATGATAAAGAGATGCTGGCCAGCATTGGAGCTCTAGAGCACTGGCGGAGCTACTTAGAAGGTGCTAGGCACTAATTTGAAATTTGGACTAATCATAAAAATCTAGAGTATTTTATGACAGCCCAAGACTTGAACCAAAGACAGGCCCACTATGCGGTGTACTTGTCTAGGTTTAATTATAAATTAATTCACAAGCCAGGCACTTCTGTGGGGAAAGCGGACACTTTATCTAGAAGAGAGGATCATGCCAACGGCATTGAAGATGACAACAAAAGTGTCACCCTGACAGACCAATCCAGGGTTGCCAATGTTTGAATCGGGCAAGATTCCGATGTTCTAGAAGTCTTCAAGAAAGACATCTCCTCAGAAGAGAAGGTGCGCCTTGATGGCAATTTACATTATTTATGGGAAGACGGGCTCTTCCATTCCAAAAACAAAATCTATGTACCTGAGTCCGCAAGGATCAAGGCAATAGATAGACATCATGACACTCCAGTGGCTGGGCACCCTGGATGGCAATGAACAATGGAGTTGATCTCCAGAAACTACATGTGGCCTGGCATGGTCAAAGACGTACAGGAATATGTACATAAAATAATGTCTAAGATGTGCCATGGCCAGAAACTTGCATCAATGTAAGGGCTATTTATATTTTCTTATTTTCTTATCTTTTTGTTCCATGTCTTGGTTCTCAGATGCTTTCCCCATTACACCTCTGGCTCTAGGGCTAGAAGTATCCTTTGCTATCTTGCTTCTCATAGCCCTCACAGGCTTTCTTAACCATTATTACCACTTCATATTGCAGATCAGAGACTGAGTAGTACTCCCAGCTAGCCAGCACAATGGGTAAGGACTGGTGGTAGAGATCTCACCAACCAGCTCCAAGACCCATCAGTGCCTGGAGATATTAATAAACACTTTAGTCAGGATCGTACTGCATCATGAGGATACAGTTCCTGAATACACGTGACAATACTCGCTATTAGTACATTCTCTCACCTGCTGATTAATTCCTAGAAGTCATACAATAGTTATTCTTTTTCTTATTGGACAGTTTCATCCTCAGACCACTTTTCTTTTATTCTACTTCCGGTCTGAGAGATAGACAATTAGCTATAAAAACCCTACATACCCATGTATCATTTTTTAGCTTTATTACTTGAATAACCCGCTTCACTCCTCATCAAAAACCTTTGAGTTTACCATCAGTTCTCTACCTGCTATAATCTCTAGCACCTGTTGACCTCAAACTCATTGTGCCTTTTACTCCCTGCAAGCGCAGATGGAGATGGGTATTGTTTTTGTTATAGTTTAATGTTGCCTCACAATCAACTACCGGCAGGTAAGCTTATGCCAAATCCAATACCGGCTGGTCCCTGGCAGGACATATTGGTTGATTTCACAACAGATATACCCAAATCAAATGGGTATGATTCAGTAATGGTGGTAGTAGATTGCTTCTCCAAAGAAGTGATATTTATTCCCACAAACAAAACTATCACAGCCATAGGTATGGCAGACTTATTTAAAGATTTTGTATGGTCCATCCACGGGTTACCAGAAATGGTTATCTCCAATAGGGGATTCCAATTTGCTAGCAAATTTACGAAAGAACTTTGCCGGATGCTGGGCATCAAACCTAAGTTATGAATGGTGTTCCATCCGCAAATAGATGGATAAATGGAGAGGCTCAACCAAGAATTGAAGCAATAACTCCGTATATTTATTAATAACAGACAGATGGATTGGGCCAAGTGGCTAAAGATAGCCCAGTTCTCATACAATATCATACAGTCGTCAGCTACAGGAAAAGCAATATTCAAGGTCACAAGGTTGTACCTCCCCAGAATAGGTGTAGAACCTGGCAAAAGCAAAAATGAGGCTGCTAGGAACATGGCTAAAGACATGAAGTCTGTCTTAGACAAAACACGCAAGACATTATTCAAAACTGCAGAACAGATGAAAGACATGGCAGAGCGTAGATGCTCTAAGGCTTCTGACTACAAGGTCGGCAACCTGCTCTAGTTAGACACTAACCACTTAGAAATAAAAGATTGGCAGTCTAGAAAACTGACCGAGAAGTGGATCAGTCTTTACAGGATTAAGGAAGTGAAACCCAATGCGGTGGAGCTAGAACTCCCAAAAGGAATGAGGGTAGTACCAACAGTCAATATTAGCCGTGTCAAACCCTACAAAGAGCCGCTTCCGGGACAGTGCATAGATTGGCCCGGACCAGTTGTAGTCACCCCGGAAGGTAAAGAAGAATTTGAAGTGAAACAGGTGGTGGATGCACACTTGAAGCGTAGAAAATTTGAGTTCCTAGCCCTATGGAAGGGCTAAAGACACAAGACAAAATGTGGGAACCAGAAGCCCATCTGGAGAACTCCTGTGATGAATCCCTTGGCTCCTAGGAAGCTTAGAGGCATAGATTCCACCCTTTTTAATTCCCTTTTTCAACCTATGCCTGAAAATTTAGCTACCACCTCTGTTATCTGGTCGAGCCTAGAAGTCGAGCCTTAGAGGGGGGTAGTGTTACGATACACAATTTTCCGACCTTTAAATTTCATTCTCCTCTTTAACTTTCTTCTGTAGTTTTCAAACACTGTGCCATGCGGCACTTTCCATTTTGTTTAAACTCCACCTTCTCGCGCTGTGCTGCCTTTCTGTATTTTAGCTACAAGTATCTCACACAGTGGAGCTGGTCACAGGGGCTGTGCCCCATGACATCATCAGCCACTGCCTTCATCAAGTGTATACACTGTGGGGATTGACTTATAATAGCTAGACTTGCAGTGTGATCTTATAGTGATTTTTTTGTAAAAATATACCAATTATATATTAGCAAAATATGAAGCAAAATATTAAAATATAATCCCTAATATCATTTGCCTGTCCTCACAGCTTTGAGTCTGGAATTTTTAGTAAAATCATTGTACTACTATCTCATATATTATATAGAATATATCTACAAAATGATCATGCTCAAGGCAGGCAACATAAAGAGAATATTTTGTAGATAATATTTATAAAATTATCCAAGGATCCACTCTAAATTACATTATCATTGATCCTAAGCATTTATAATGAAACATTTCAAACTCATATCTTCCTTATATTCAACCCTTATCCACAGCATTTTTTTGAAATTATTTCTAATTATCTTCCAGACTATTTTCATCCTTGAACTGCAGCTTTGATTCACAATCAAAGCTGCACTCCAATGATGAACATGTCACATGTGACGTAATTCCTTATGTGACTATTTTCCTTACATTTGATTGAATCCTGCCAGCTGAGTTGTTCTGAATCTTATCTAAATGTTTGTTGCCATTACACCATCATTATAATGCCCAGTGAAAAGTCACAAATGTAAATATCTAGAAATACCTTGGAATATATAGAAATTGATGAAAATATCTGTAAAAATCATCAAAGATCAGAAACATTTGAGTAAGCCAAATCTCCAGGTATTTTAAGATTTGTCTTGTAGAAATTGGACAAACCACATTTAAAAAAAGAGAGAAAATTTGGAAATCTGGAACATCCAGATATTTGGTGTTATCTGCAGAATTCCAGTTGCATCTTCAACCACTCAAAATAGCATTGAAAAAGCAGAAAAAATATTGAATTTTCTGTAAGCTATAAAAATGTGTAGGTATCACTAGAAAATGTAAAATGAGAGCTACAAAGTACTGCAAAAAAACTCGAAAATAATGCCTAAAAATGTAACACAAGGAATCTCTTCAATCCATCATGGAAGCTGCTAGTTTCTAGATGTATAGTCAGTAAACAAAATATAGATAGTAAATCAATATGTGTACCTTCTATTCTGACCTCTCTGTATAAACCTGGAATGAGATCAGAACAATATTAGGCTAGAGAGAGAACAAATAAACCTGTTTTCTGTACACCGCCAATTTGTTCCAATACTGCATGAATTGTCACTGGTGCCATCAAGCTGGATTGTTTGCATGCCATTTGATAGCACAGAGATTTCTTTGAAAATTGATTAGAAATAATTGCTGGGGGGATCAAAAGTTGATGTTGGCGTGAAAGCCTTTAAATTTGTTGGCACTATTCATTTGCTAGGTGGTTTTAGTAGTGGGGGAATAATTGGTACCAGTGGTGTACATGAGGACACCTCACCACAGCTGCTTGTGGTTTTGTAATGACCAAGAGTTAGTCACTCTGGCGCACACAAGAACACACTATAAAGGTAGTGATGAGGGAGTGGTTACCCCTTAAGCTGCAGAGAGTTTGTTGGTATACAATAGGAGGACTCGCTGAGGAGTCTCCTTGATCTATTGGGGTATTTATATTAATACAGAGTGTTTGTACCTATGTACTGTACAGTTGATAAAAGCAGTGGCTGATGATGTCAGAGGGCACAGCCCGTGTGACCAGCTCCACTGCGTGAGAGAGTTTGTGTCTAAAAGAAGAATGAAGGCAGCGCTGCACGAGAAGGTGGAGTTAGAACGAAAAAGGAAAGTGCCGCATGGCATGGAGTGTGAACTATAGTAAAAAGGTTAAAGTGGAGAATGAAAATTAAAGGAAAGGTCCGAAAATTGTGTTATTGTAACAGGTTTGGCAATTGGGAACTACCAAAGCTGGAATGAGGGAGTCAATGTGAAGATTTGAGGTGATGGTAGGGAACAGGGTGACGGTAGAACCATTGGTGGTATATATGACAGTATACTGGTATGATAACGCATATAGCTAATGATTACTATATTAATCCACACTTACTATGACTGATTTTTGCTAAGTCCATTTTGCTGAATTCATCTTACTGATACTCCACATATCTGTTTGAGTCTGTAAAAATATGCAAGTAAACAAGAAAGCGACAATAAATATATTATGTGCAACACCAATCTTGATTATGGAACTTATGCAGCATTCCTTACATGCCAATGAGTCACTTGATCACTAATTTCCGTGATATGTTGTCATTTGTCTATATATTTCTATTTCAAGCTTTTTCCACATTTTAGATTGCAACTTTTCACTGGGCACCATAATAATGGTATAATGGCAACAAACATTTAGATAAGATTCAGAACAACTCAGCTGGCAGGATTCAATCAAATGTAAGGAAAATAGTCACATAAGGAATTACGTCACATGTGACATGTTCATCATTGGAGTGCAGCTTTGATTGTGAATCAAAGCTGCAGTTCAAGGATGAAAATAGTCTGGAAGATAATTAGAAATAATTTCAGAAAAATGCTGTGGATAAGGGTTGAATATAAGGAAGATATGAGTTTGAAATGTTTCATTATAAATGCTTAGGATCAATGATAATGTAATTTAGAGTGGATCCTTGGATAATTTTATAAATATTATCTACAAAATATTCTCTTTATGTTGCCTGCCTTGAGCATGATCATTTTGTAGATATATTCTATATAATATATGAGATAGTAGTACAATGATTTTACTAAAAATTCCAGACTCAAAGCTGTGAGGACAGGCAAATGATATTAGGGATTATATTTTAATATTTTGCTTCATATTTTGCTTATATATAATTGGTATATTTTTACAAAAAAATCACTATAAGATCACACTGCAAGTCTAGCTATTATAAGTCAATCCCCACAGTGATAGTACACATGTACAAACAACATGGTGACTTGGCATTTGTATATGAATTGGTTGTTCAGGAATTCCTTAGAGGACAGCTGGGTGAAACTGAGATTATGCACAAGCATTTAGTAAACTGAATAAACAACAACAAAATAACAAGATACCTGTAGTGCACCAGCAGCAACAGTAACCATTATGCCATGTTCATCATACAGGGGTGGTTCAATATATGTACTGGGTGTACACATGGACTTTTGTCAAGGGTAGTCTTTGCCCATAATATGGTCGTTGACTATGTGATGCTGATAAATTGATCAACAATCAACACAAAAAAGATATCCTGATGCACACTCTCTTGATTTAGGTCCATATTGTGAACTGGCAATTCCTGGTTTATATGACTATCTAAAAATGCCTTGCTAGCACAGAGGTTTGGGAATTCTTGTTGAGGTACCCAATATTGAAGCACATTCCAATCTAAGGAGGCACTGATGCCATTATTGCAGTCCTGAAGTGCCAAGGCATGTTTGAAATCAGTCTGAGCATCAACCAACGTAATATCCAAATCAGCTGAAAGACACTGATCAATACAGGTTGTGCAATATAAATCATAAGTTTGCTATAACTTGGGCTGCTATTGGCGGTCATCCCTGAAGTAGCCCGCCCGACCAAGTTGAGCATTTGACCCTGAACTTGAAAGCCATTAGTATAGGGAGTAGCAAATCCATGGATAGTGCAAGACTCTGTTGAACGGACAATATATCCTGGATTTAAACCAGGTCTACAGGCCATGCCACCGGCCTGAGATTGGTGGGAGTCAAAGTGACATTGATGCCAACGCCTGCCAACGCTGGGCTTTACAACAGAATCTGGTTCCATTTGGGTGGTAATAGACTGCGTTGGCCAACCTGGCTCAGATCTCTGAGCTGCAACAATGTTTATGTCCCAACTTCACTGGCACAGCCAAACCTGAATCAGAGTATTGCAACCTTGCTGGCAGGATAATTTGAAGGCATAACCTGTGAGAGAGATTCAGCGACGTCAGTGAATAAGTTTTCCGTCCATTATCATGATGTGGTCCCACTGTCTCGCTAGAATCATAGCTGTAACCCTTACCAAACTTTATAATTCAATTTTTGACACCAAACTTTGCACTGCGGGAATACAGCCTGTTTACCTGACACTGAATACATAAAGGGTTGGCGGATAACATTTTGCTGCAGCACGGGCAATTTGTAGATGTTCGCAAATTTTTTTGTGGAACCGAGTGACAATGATTGGATGTTAGCCCACCTGAGCAAATGTCACGGTTGTGGGGCATGGACCTTATCAAATGCTGCTCAGTCGGCTAGCTCTACAAGACTCAATGATCAGATACTGCCAGGCACTAGAACTTCACTAGAATGGTCAAATGCAGACCTGCATTAGCGCGGCCTGGTAAAAGCCACCCAAGCGAGCGGCTCCTCTTTGATCACAATGTCCCAGAGTTTTGAATAACCACCATGATAACTCACAATTGTTGTCTGATTAAATCCATTGCAGCTATATAAGAAGGTGAGTCCATTATTTTCATGTTGTCGTAACACAAACAATCACCTTGTGATTCAATTAATCATTGGCAACCAAATGTATCCTCAGGATGTTGAGAGTTACTTGGAAGACGCACACCTGCAGCACCTGGAGTGCCCAAATATTGCTGAATCTTTCTTCCAACGCTGCAGCTTTTGCTAGGGCAGCAAACTTGTTTCATTCTTTGCAACACCAGCCTTCAGAAATGGTGTCCCATCAGTTTGCTTGGTTCCAATTGTGAGTACTGTTTAATATTACATCAGTTGTGCTCTAAAATATGTACTGTTGTTGTTGTTTAGGATGGGCATTATTATAGGGCTAACAGCGCCCTTCCTCGCACAGAACCAGTGTTGCTCCAGGTGCAGGTGTTTGCAGAAGCAAAAGTCTGCTGCTGATGGCTTAAGTGGTGGGTGCTTGTAGTTTTTTCTGGGTGTACCGAGTTAATGTTAAACCACAGATTATGAGAAGGTTGTTGCCTTGAATTAACTGACCATACCAATAACAAACTCTTACAGACTCAAAATGAAGCCCTGCACAAGGAACTAAACTACATACATAGTCAGATAATCACTTATAGGGAGGGGGCTCACATGTGGGAAGTCTGTTGGGCTGAAGAGCTCGTCAATGTGCTCTCATTCAGTGTTACATTTCAGAGGAAGACCTAGGTAAATGCACGCCATCTTCTCAGGAAGATCTCACTTAGCATCCATTCTCGAGTTTCACATTTCTCTATTAGTTCTCTGATGCTATCTTCAATGACTGGAATTTTGAGTCCTCAGGCTCGTAACAGTGATAACAGAATTAAGCGCACACAACAAGAACATGCCACTAGCCCGTATTGAGCGTTGTCACAGTGATGGTGTCCCCTCTGCACTACACCCTACCAAAGAAGTAGCTCAAGCTCAGACCACACAATCTGGTGTTATGCCTGTTGTGAATCAACTTACAGTGAATTCCAAAATGGATCATTGTCAGCACCCAACATGGGTAGCTATTGCCAACACAGCAGCAGCATTTTTTGCACCTAACACCCAGGGCCTTGTCCCAGGTCAAACTGTGACAGGAAAGGAGGTACATCATTAGTAAAAATCTATTCCGTCAACAGTATGCTCACCAATCATCTGCCTGTCTTTTCTTTTGACCTAGTTGACTTTCAAGAATGTCAAATATTTGGAACTCCACAGTATTTTAGAAAAGAAAGGATACACTTCCAATCAGGTATGAATCTATTGTCAGGGATTTTCACTGTGAACTTATCAGGTATAAATAGGTACTCTTGGGACGATATCTCAAAGATTTTGATTATATTTGGTCCACCCTCTCCTATACACAAGACACCCACTAAAAATCTGCACAACTGTTTTCTAAAAGCCATGGGGGTGCAGGACGCAAGTGCGGGAACAGATAACATATCCAACCCTATGTCCGTGTGGGATGTAAGCACGGCTGAAAGCTTCAAGATACAGAGCAACAAGACCAGTAACAACAGGCCAAAGGGCAAATATGTACCGGATATTGGTATTGAACACCCTCAGATTGGCCTTATATTCCCAGTAGAGACCTGCTTTACCCAGACCTTAAACAGTGCCCAAGCCCGCATTGCAAATTATACGTTAATTCCATCTGTTGTAGGAGCGATGATCATAGACATTAAAGAACACAGATATGCGTCACCTACATCCAATCATGCTATTGCTCGAGCTTTTTCCCTTCTGTCATGCGAACAATAGTTCACCACTTATAAGGAACATAGTTGCTCTGATCCATTACTTGGGTACAACTACAAGTGGGTGGGCCACTTCATGTGTAATATCAAAGTCTACGTTAAAGATTGGAAAATGACAGTATGTACTGCAGTATAGTGGTAGAATCTGGTTGATGCTGAAGGATACCGCAGGCAGGTCAGCTGTTACCACAGGAGAGAAACTTAGCGGCTGTGAACGAGGCATTGCAGGAGGCTTGGCATGCTATGGTAGACAAGGTCTACCCTGGGTTGGTGTTAGTACTGTTCTCAGTGAACTGGCAGTTTGTTTGAAGCTCTCAAGAAGGGTGTCATTATAAACACCTATCTTTGCTATACGACTTGGTATACTGAGCACAAGAGAAGCAGAAACAAGGGTGATAATACTGAAAGCGGTGGCCTGGGAACTGATGCAGCAGGCAATAGTAGCAGGGACAATGTGAATGATGGTGGTCAATCTGTCCACAAACACCACGGTTAGGACTATACTACCTCAAGATCCTGATACTAGCCTGGGTTCAAGCTAATGTTGTGCAATTACCGTGCTATCTGTATGTTTTTCTTGACTTTGTGTTCCTTATGAATTGTGGAGTTGTATTTTGGTGTGTAGCCCTATTATGAAACTATGTTGTATAGTTGGAATCAGTACTGTAAGGCCGTCAATATTATCAATATGTGCTAGTATATAGAAGTGTCCTGTGCAGATATTGAATCAAATCACACTCAACTTGGCATGAAGAGCCGAGATTTCCAAATCTGGTATATGAACTCACTCAGAGCACGCGGCAGAGCTGCTGGTGCACATGCCAGTTGTCAACATTCAATGTTGCCTTATTTTACTGATTTTGAAATTGCTGGATTGCTTGTTTTACGTTCATCTGGTGTGTAGTGGTCAGAGTGGTAAGGATACTGGTTTGATACTCAGGCTTGTACTGTGATTTTTCTTACCCCGACTTGGCAGGTTTTAATTCATGTTACCACTCTGGCAAGTCGGGCCAGCTTGAGTCAACACCTTGGCAATTCAGAAGATTCAACTTGCGAATCAAAATAACACCAATTCATGAATTCATCTGCATCAACTTTCATTTTTATAATTCTGGTTCTCATTTATAGCCACATCTCAATGGTGCTGAAATGTGGTTATCTGTGTGATCAAACATTCAAAGACCAACAAGGATTGAACAGGCATCAGCACTCCTGTCCGATATACAAAGATTCACAAGTTGATGCAGTCGCAAGGCGAAGGTCCTAGGCAAAAAAATCAAGAGTTAGATTGTCCACTTTTTGTGGAGAGCAGACTCAGGCTGCAATTGTTAGTGATGGTGCCTCTGACCAGGAAAAAGTGGACAGTGTTCTGCGGTATGTCATATTCTCTATTTCTTTCCATGATGTCTGATTGATTGCTAATCAATTTCTGTAAGGACAAGGTATGAGAACAATGACCAGTTGATGTACAATCTTGAGAAACCCCAGGATTTTGATATCCAGATGGGATCACCTCCCATATCTCCAACTACTGCTTTGCAAAGTGAAACTCAAGATATATCCCAGATATCACAATTGGAAGTTCCCGTGGTAGGCTCTACCTGTTTTCCATCTACGCATATTGACAGGCCAAAAGTTTTGTACAAGGTGATTGTAATCCTAATAGATGCCCAGATTACATTCCCGAAGGAACAGTCCCAATTTCTACCAAAGTGTCAACAGCTCACAGAGTCATGCTGTATGTTCGAGACTCTTTTTGGACTGCTGCCAATATATTTGGCCTTGGTTGAGATTACAGTAGCAGGCCTTCTTATGATCCCAAGCACAACATATGTCCTGAAGATCTCTGGCAGGCAAAGTATCGGAATATGATGGCAAATATTAACGCTGTTCAGGACACGCCAAATCCTTTCACCTCTCCCTATTCAAACGGATCTGGCAACCTCCCTTCTGTGGCCCCAAACAATGTGTTCACAATGAGCCCTACACATCTGATTCTTGGATTCAAGCACAAGAAGCCCTTAACAAACAGCCTCCAGAGCCCGGCTGCAAGCTAGAGCAGGTCATAGTGGTGTTCATGTTCTGGTTGGATGTGACACATCTAACTTCCTTTGGATCAGTTGGAGCTTGGCCTGTGTACATGTACTTTGGGACTCTATCTAAGTATGTTTGTGCAAAACCGATGTCGGGGGTGTGTCACCATTTAGCTTACATACCTTCAGTAGGCTAATTTCTTGCATCTTTTTGGCCGTTTTTTGCCAACAAGGAAAAGAGCCGTGCTAAAGAGAATGACCATGAGAAGATGGAAAAAGATGAGGAATCCGGTGCTAATGAGAAAAAAATGAGTTTGCATACATATAAGTTCCATTCTCTAGGAGACTACGCCAGGACTATCCGTCTATTTAACATGACAGACTCTTATAGCACACAGATAGTTAAGTTTTCTTACTTTTCTCGATACTATGGATCTGATTACAATTTGTAGGGTGAACTTGCTCATTGTCTAGTCAAAAAATTATATGATCGCACAAACAAAACTCAGCTCCTTAAGTCTTTGTCAGTTCAAAAACACCGCTACAACAGGATGTCCTGAAATGAAGAACCTGTTGCAGATACATCAATGTTGCAGCAAGATAATTTGAGCTCAGATCCTGATGAGTCTGATGAACAAGTCAATCTACCTATTGGACTACATCACCATGTCTCAGTGTCTCAGCATAAGCCTCAAGACCTGCATGGATTTTTGTGTAACTTTGCAGAAGATGATCACCTATTAGGCCATTTATTGAACTTTGAATATGATGGTGACTGTTACAACCAAGAGTTAGTTACTCTGGCGCACACAAGAACACACTATAAGGGTAGTGAATGGGGAGTGGTTACCCCTTGGGCTGCAGAGAGTTTGTTGGTTAACAACAGGAGGACTCGCTGAGGAGTCTCCTGGATCTATTGGGGTATATATACTAATACAGAGTGTTTGTACTTATGTACTGTACAGTTGATAAAGTCAGTGGCTGATGATGCCATGGGGCCTAGCCCGCATGACCAGCTCCACTGTGTGAGAGAGTTGTATCTAAAAATAAGAAGAAGGCAATGCGGCGCAAGAAAAAGGAGTTTGAACAAAAGGGGAAGTGCCGCGTGGCACCATGTGTGAAAGCTAAAGTATACAAGGTTAAAGCGGAGAATGAAAATGAAGGAAAGGTCCGAAAATTGTGTTATTGTAACAGTGACAAGTGTAAGTTTTCACCCGAACAGCGGAATCACCTGCAGATTCTCAACAATTGCATGCACCCAGCCAAGACTATGCGAGTTTATTATACCACTTACAATGGTTTGGTGGTGTCCCCAACCACCAATCTGGCTTTAAGGTAGCCCGTTTACCAAAAATTGGCTTTGTTCGACAAAACAACAGGCATGTTGCACCATTCAGCTTCCTGGATCCTTCTGTGGTAGTGCGTGCTTGTCAGCTAATTCCAGCTTTTGTGGATGGCCATACATTGTCCTTACTTAGAGAAGGATCTTCAGCTAGTTGATACAGGGGGAGCTCAATGACTGGACTGCCTACTACATTAATATGTATGTGCATTGGTTCTGTTTGCTAGCCTTTGTCTCACTATGTGTTAGATTTTGCAACAGGAATATATTTATGCAGTATCTAGGGAATGGTGTTGGACACATGGGCAACTCCGTCAAGCACCACCCTTCTGGAGCTTATGGACCTCAAAAACAACTTCCAGGTTTGCACAAAAATGAAGAAGAAGAACGCACATACTGCGATCAAGGCTATTATAAGGAGGCTATTAAAGAGGGCACAGACAAGTATAATGGCGGCAAAAGTAAAGACAAAGAATATGACGAAGATGAGGATGGTGATGGTGATGGTGATGGTCAAGAGGAGGAGGAGGATGACAATGATGAGGATGGGGATGGAGATGGAGACAAAGAGGAGGATGCTGGCAGTTTTGATGTTGGCTTTGACAATTTGTGATTCACTAACCACATATTATATAGTTCTTGTATTTCATTTTGTAGATGTCTGTAGTAGCTTTGATTGTATTATACATTATAAATAGCCTATACAAATTTAAGGGGTATTATTATGGATCTGCCTTCTTGAAATCTGGCCTCATACTGTGTTCTTGTGGTACTGTCCTCTCTCTGCTCATGTACACTTTTACAGCAATGATACAACTCATTGACATCTAACTAATTTTCCTGTCTGAAGGAATAACTTGCATCACCTGGACATGCAACTATATTGTCGATACAATTGGTCTATAATTAACAAGAACTTACTGTCTGTACTGAAAGTTCACGACAATTTGATATCTGATTGTATGCCAAATACAACTAGTTTGCGGATGGACATATATTACTGCTAAGACTAAATATTAACATCACCTTGATATGTAACTACGTCCTTGATACAACTGCATCCTACTTAGCCGTATTTTATTGCTTGCTTTGAAGGACTATGACATTTTGATACTTGATTGTATGTTGATTACAGCTGGCTTACGGATAGTTAGAAGATACTACCAAGACTGAAGATAAATACCATCTTGATAAGTAATTGTATTCTTCATACAACCAGTTTATGTGCAACTAGAATTTATTGTCTATGCTAAAAATTCATCTCACTTTGATATTTGATTATATGCTTGTTGGAAAGAACTTACAAGTTTCTGGAATTTATTACCTACGATGAAAGTCTGCATTATTTTGGCATAGATTTATGTTCCTATATACCAGTTGCTCAACCCCAGTGAAAAGTTATTCTGTATAATTAGTTATAAATCTATATAAATAAATATAATTGTGCATAAATCTATATGAAAAATCATGAATGTGTCCGGTAATGTCCGAACACAGGCCTATCATTGCATGACATCAGTGCACTCACAATCGTATATCTCAATACATGTGTTCGAGTGCTCGACACAACTTGAGTTAACTCTGCTTCCATCTCATAACACAAGACACGCTAACTCAGTGAGTTGTTTACTTTTGTTGATAATATGATATCATTTATAGCTTTCTGTTGACTTTGAGAGATTTCAAACAACACTCTGGATCTTTCTCTCTGAACTACATCCTGCATATTTGTTTCTTGTTGCTGCTGTAAGTACTTCCCACCATTGTATGTGCATAAATATACTCAACCATAATCTTTTCAGCAACATTCACACGCTTGGCTGTATGCGCTGTAAGGTATTATGTACATCTATGCTACTACTACTGCTGTTCACAGCTGTACTCTTTTTAGGTCCAATGTTCACGCACTTGGCTATATGCAGTGTAAGATATGTATCTGTTCCGTTTCACATATACTATGCTAATACACTCATTAAATTCTCACTTTACTCTCGCTGCTGCACATCAACCTGTTGGGTAAAAGAAGTGGTGGGTTGTATACTCTTTAGATTGTTCTGACGCTGTGTTATTTTATATTGAAACAAATAGAATTATATTGATATTCTCGAATTTTTACCCTGAGATGTGCTACAACAAATTCTATATGATTCTATATGATTCTAATACTATGAAGAATCTCTATTGAATTATATCAAAAAATATGTGAATACTGCCAAATTTCTATATAATTCAATACAGGCTGATACAATTCTATATATGTCGATATTTGATTCCAAAGTCAGCTAACCTGTTAGTTTTTTGCATTGATGCGTCATTTGCACGAATTATACAGATTTATATAGAACGACTTTTCACTGGGGCTCAACAGCCACAATGTTTTGCTCAGATATACAAATGAAGAAATGTCATAACATGCTCAAACTCTTTCGCTTATGGACAGTCCACATTTGTATCTATACAATCTGTAAACAAAGAACAATGATATTTAAAACTTTCTAACCTCGAGTGAAAGACATCCAAACACAACGAAAGTTGCGAAAAGAAAGCATTGAAGATGGAAACGATGATAGTTGTTTGGAACAGAACAGAACGGAATGCAAGGCCAAACTTACGTACAGTCCGGTAAAAGATGAGATGGACATTTTGATGATTGAAACCTGGTAACCTGACGGTACCAGGAATCACTGCGGACATTAATGGGCTTATTTAAGCCCAGCTTATATCCTGAAAATATGGGAGTTCTGGGTTCTGATTGGCTAGAAAAAGCTAAAATTGAATGTTTTCAGGATATAAGCTGGGCTTAAATAAGCCGATGCCCGCAGTGAATACATTCTGAACCTCGAAACAGTGGATGGGGAGGAGCCTGGGTAATGATACTACATATGCAAATATTCAAACTTCACTGGGCCAACTCATCAACAAAGAAATGGCCCTTCGTGTCCTTACGTAATGGATTAAGCTCCTGCCTTTGAGTGGGTCCTCGACGCAAAAATTTCTCAAACGCAGGGTTGCCAGAGTCAACAAAACGTAGCGAAACAATTTCGTAATCAAATAAAGTGAGGTACTGTCTAATTCTGCATTTGTTGTTGTTCTCGCCCAACCCTTCTCTCCTTTTCACTTTCCAATTGATTGTACAGGAGAAATAGTGCCTTTTCATTAGCCTCGGGAGTCCCGACAATAGTGAACATTCTCTCGCCTGTCTCATCATGAGGCGCTTTCGCAATGGAGATTTTAGACCCAGAGAGGCGACGAATTTCTGTGATCTTGCTTCCACTGCGCCCTATGATACAGCCAACCATGTCCGAAGGTATCGAAATATTTTGAGTGCGAAGGTTTGCAGGCTGCACAGGCGATGCGGGGGGAGGTGAAACAGGCGAAGAAGCAAGATTGTTGGTACTCTCTTCATGGGTTCTGCCACTTCCGCCGCTTCCACTTAGCAAATTCGCTGTCTTTCTCGAGCGAGACATATCATCTCCGAGTCCTGGATGAAAAAGTACGGTTCCTAAGCCCCTTTCCCAATCTTCCAGCAAACATCTCCCAATTTCTTCTATGGCACGACCGATTGCTTCAGGAGTACCTTGTACTTCCACGATACGCTCTGTAGACTGAGGAAGCATGTCTTTTGATGCAACCATTCGAGCACCAGAAACGTCCTGTATCGCCTTGATTTTGAGGCCGCTACGCCCAATTATGGTTCCCATTAGGTTGTGAGAAATGAGGAGACGAATAACTGTATGCGATAACGAAGGAGGCGGGGAGGAAACGAGAGAGGAGCTCGAGGTCACTAACTGCGAGGTAATGATAGTATATGCCTAGGCAGAGTGCTGTAAACCGGTGCCGATGAACTTCAAACTCGTTCGTATGACGTACCTTTGCTACGGCTTCTACAGAACCACTAATGGCCAGCACGCGTTCATGAACGCCTGGAATGACTTTACTAACACCCGCCTTGACACCAGTTTGTTCTCTTAAGTCAGCGACATTCTTTCCAGCTTTACCAATGATAACACCCGCTTCTTTGGTGCTAACCAATGCCCGAAGGGACAGTGGACTATAGCCATGGGTTGGAGATGATGAGCGAGACCTGGAAGGTGACACTACAACTTTGATCCTCAGCGATGGAGGGATAACACGTAGGTTATCCAAAGAAAACTCACCAGAAACATGAGCCGGAGACCCAGAATGCATGAAATACAGTAGACAACAGGAATTTTCAGGATAAAATATAACGAGGAAAGGAAAGTGGTTCTACTAGTAAGGTCGCTGTTCAACTGAAACGACTTCGAAAAGACTCCAATGGACCGATGAACGAGTCGTGCCGCCACGGGGTCAACCGAGTCGAGGTAGTTAGTTACCTTGGTCTGAAACCTCGCTTCCGGCATTTTCCGAATGTTTGTATTGTCACACCAAGCATAACAGACTTTTGTCACACCAAAAAGAAAAGGCCTGAAAGTAATTAAAATATTTGATTGTATTTTTGGACCTACACAGTTCAGACAATAGTGTCGTTCGAAGTAAACACTGAAATATGTTCAGGAGCCTGAAAAAAAGAAAAGTGGAGATTTGTAAGTGTCTGAAGCTGAAATAATTACCAGAAAGGGTCGGGTATAGATGAATTCTTGATCAGATATACAATGTCAGACTACAGATGCCGTCCTACAATCCACGATCAGCATCTCGATGCTCTCGACAGTTTATTCGTCAACTCACAAACAATGCTACTTAATAACTTGCTAGCCTCCCTGAAAAACCGGCCCAGTTGTCTATTGGCCTTTCAACATCATCATCAAGTGATTCCAACTCTAGCAATTCAGTTAGCTCCAATGTGGGATCAGAGTTGGGGTTGGGGCTCAATTTGGATAGCTTATCGCTTAGCGGCGGGTCTGACGGCATAGGCAAGTTGGATCGAGAATCTGATCAAGAGTAGGAGGGTGGTGAGGACAACAATGCCGAGGATATGGGGTATCAATCACATCCGATCACTCAGCTCACACTTATGCAGGTCACATCCGTAGTATACATAATGCTACACAAAATGGTGGAAGAGACAAGGGTTTTTTTTCCCAAAGCACCTGCATTTCAGCCGCCTCAACTTGGCTTGCTTGAGTGGGCTCGCCATAACTACACCCCCCATTTCTTGTGTAAGCTCCACATGCTTTCGGCAACTTTTGATGTGATTGTGACCCTGATCAACAACCACCCAATATTTCATAACAAGTCCAACAACTCCCAGTTTGCTGTTTCCCTCCAGCTTACCATCTTTCTTGTTTGGGCCGGACATTACGGGAATGCTGCGTCATGCAATGATGTAGCCAAATGGGCTGGAGTATCAGCCGGCACAGTAGTGCTATTGACTAAGTGGGTGGTTGTTGCGCTCATTTCCCTGTATGACATGGTTATGTGCAAACCAACAAATGAGGAAAAAATAAAAGCTAAAGCTTATGCAGGGTCAAAGGTCTGCCCATTGTGGCAAAATGGCTGGCATTCAGTAGATGGGACAACATTCCCGCTGTTCCAAAAGCCAAGCCATTTTGGCAAGGCCTGGTACAATTGTTCATCAAATTACTCATTAAATGCTCAGGTGCATTGTCCTGATTACAAATATAACATACAGTTATTAACTAATTAATCCCAGATCATTATCTTGTTGCACAATCTATGGATAGTTGATTACGGTCTGGGCCATATGGGCAGCGTCCACGACTCCTATGAGTTTGAAAGCACTCAGATCTTTTGCAATCACACAGCATTTCCAATGCACAAGAATTGAAAGCAGAGGTGGATATGGAAGTGGAAGAGGATGCAACAGGGCCAGAAATCAATTGCTCAAAGAAATTGGACACCAGCGAAGAGGGAGCAGGGGAGGTAGAGTTGTTGGCGAAAAGGGAAGAGATGATGCTACTATCCACACCAGGGATATCATTGACAGCTTGGATGAGTTTGAATTTCATTTCAAACCTGTCCTTCTCGTGTTGTTGCTGTTCTTGTTCCCTTTGTACCTGACTTCTGTTAACTAACTGCAGCTTCTCCTTGAACTGCTCGTGCTCCAACACAGTGGCTTCCTTATCTTTTGACCACCTGTTGCTGTGTGTACGTTCTGCTATAGCTGTGTACTTCACATGCCTTGCAGCTACCTTACCTCCCTTAACTTGGAGCACCTCCTGTGCAAGGCTTTGCTGTCCTTACATAGCCTGTGCAACAGGCTCCATCACCTGCTGCATCAAGGACACATTGTCCTCAATATGAGATTGTGGCTGCTTACGTGGCCTGTTGTCTACCTTTGCAGACTGTGGGGTCCCAGCGTCCTTCATACTGACCCTTCTGTCTGTGGTGATAAGACACTCTGTGCTCACTTTGTTGCCTGACAATATTGCTAACTGGGCCCGGAGTGTCTCTCTGACGGTCACAACAGATGGCCGTTTTCCCAAATTGACAATATTTGCGGGTGCAGTTGCAGTGCTTAGATGGGACGGGGGGAGGAGGTGAGGCCAAGCGAGAAATAGGAGAAGATGGGGGTAGGTTTCCAAAGAAGCCAGGGTTAGGTGAGAGAGGAACGAGGTTCGCGCTGGGATTTGTGCTGAAGCCAGACTGGCCAGAGGACAGAGAGCCTGGAGGTACACTTAATAAAACTAAGTGCAACTCAGCCGCTGCCCGAGAGGCTATAGAAATGACTTGTATTATTTACCTAAGTGAAACTATAATAGATGTTAGTTTAAAATGATCTCTAATAAATGTAATGTAACATACCTCAGCCGCTGCCCAAGAACCTATAGAAACGACTGAGGTATTCCTATACTAAACCCCCTACTACTTATAGTCGGAGGTGCTACTCGCTACAGTATAATGACTCCTAGGAGTACAATTGTGCTCCTAGGAGAACAATGGTGACTCCATGGAGTGGTGGCTAAACTCCATGGAGAACAATGGCTGCTTTGGCAGAGACTGGGTTTATCCGGTTTTTTCAACACTTGCATAGAAGCTGGAGTGGCCCAAGGTGGGAAAAGAGGGAGCCTGGTTCATAAAGAAACCAGAGTGTCCAGACACAGATCCAGAGACAGGAGAATTAGGGAGCAAGAAGGGTATATCTTGAAATGGTATATTATGTACTTGTAGATGTCCGACTTCTAAACCCTGGAGATCTCAAGGCTGCATATTGTCAAATGAAGAACCGAAAGAGTGAAAGGAATGGTTCATCTGGAAAAGTGAAGAAAGGGATTGATGGTAGGCTTCTGGGAAAAGGCTGGCAGCATTTGGGTCAAAAAAACTAGGATCAGTTGCAATAGACGGTAGGGAAGGTAGTGATGAATTGTTTGGCAAGGAAGAAGCTGAAGATATCATGCCAGAATTGGCGAGAAAACTACTGTGATGGTTGATATGCAGAGGGATTTGACTGAACTGGGAGAATTGATTGAACGGTTGGTGTACAAAGTTGTCATTCTGGAAATGCTGATAGTCCTCATACCCATGGCTCTGGGGGAGAGGTTGTTGAGGTAGCTGATCATGGACCTGTATTGCGGGTTCACTTGCTGAATGATGGTCAGCTCAACTCTGGCTACACTTGTTTGGGAACACCCCATGATCCTGGTCTGGATCTGACGATGTTGTGAACAGATTATAGTTGGGGATCTTCTGCGAATATCTCCTCATGTATCGTAACTTTGCTCGACTTTGCCTGACCCTTCTTCCTACTCTCTTGGTTGGCATCTTCCTGGGAGTCTGAAAAGAGCAGATGTTGTTTCTGAATATTTTGTTCCAACCAATCCAGGAGACGATCTGTACGTTCCGATGTCCACTTAATGGTCAGGGGGCCTCCAGACATCCCATTCTTGTCAAATTTATCGAGATTGTCAAGATCATTGTTGTAGTTGTTGGCAGGTTGAGTAGAGTGAGACATAGTGTGGGCATAAAGAGACTAATAGCTGTGTCTGGTCAGTTCAATAATACACATCAGAATTTCAAGCAGAGTTAGCCCCATGAATTCTTTGGAAAAAATGAATTCATCTATACCCAACCCTTCCTGGTAATTATTTCAGCTGAAAGACACTTACAAATCTCCACTTTTTTTCAGGCTCCTGAAAATATTTCAGCATTTACTTACTTCAAATGATACTAATAATTAGTGACAATATGACTTGATAATGATACCTGCAAACTTTCAGGCCACTGGTTCCCACAAAACATCACATTGTATAAGCATTTTAAAGCTGTTTAGCTTTTTAGAGAGGACTGTGCTCAAAATAGCTGTGAGGCAATAATAATTTTACACTACGAAGACCTTCGAGTTGAGTTCATATAAAGTACTTCTTACAGCACATCCCGCCAAAAGAGCTGTTTCCTGTAATTATACAAGACCTTCAATTCCCCTCAAGTCCAACCTCATACACTGAATAACACTGTACATTGTTGCACTATATCTCCTAACCATGGCAGCCTGCAAGGAAACTACCTCAGACACAAGATGGCTACCCAATTCAATAATTTTTTGTGAGGGGCCATCTGTGTTAGTGTTCATGCTCTCCTTTGGTAGTTTACACATTGAATCCCAGTTGCTAGTGCTTGTAGCAGCGCAGCTTGCTTCTCAATCAATCTGTTTAGTAATGAGAAACTACAAAGTATGATACAAATCCCATTGTAACAACCAAAGTTTTAATATTTGGCACACAACTCAGACAGGCAAGTGTGAGGGAAATAAAAGTGGATAAACCCCTTAGTGGTAGGACCGAGTTAGTTGTGGGTAAACAACAGGATGTGACAACACCAACAAAATACAATCTTGGGGCACTGGAGCATAACCTCAAAGGCTACAACTCAAGGAATAAACAGTACAACTCATCAAAAGAGGGAACTTGTCATACTAATGTTGGTATACACTAGAAGAGGACTTGCTGAGTCCTTCCCCATGTATTGCTCAGGTATATATACTACAATACATGAGGTACTGTACAGTTGTAAATAAAGTTAAAAGTCCAATATCGAGCATGTGACTGGTCACATGGTGAGTCTAGACACTGGTCAGGTGATGTGTCATATGATCAGCCGTGTGACTATGAAAAGTCTGAAAAGTAAAGTAAAAACAATGGTCACGTGACTTGTCTATTGGAGTATCTATACACCATGGGCATGAAAGGGTTCCAGCCAAGCCGGGAGAGGTATGATTCATACACAAACAGCATAATTTCAGCCACTTGGCTGGGATACCTCAAATATTATAAATATATACTTTGTGATAGATTAACTAAAATTTTACCAATATTTTGAGAAATAGCTGTGATGGTTTGTGCCCAGTTTGAAGCTGACATGTTGCTGGTTCTTTATAAACTAGGTTTGTATTGGCTGAGCTGCTGACTTTTCAAAGAACTAGCAATGTGTCAGGCACAAACCATCCCAGCTACTTCAAAACATTGGTAAAATTTTAGTTTATAAAGAACCAGCAACATGTCAGCCCCTAATTGGGCACGAACCATCACAGCTATATCTCAAAATATTGGAAAAATCTTAGTTAATCTATCACAAAGTATATATTTATAATATTTGAAGTATCCCAGCCAGGTGGCTGAAATTATGCTGTTTGTGTACAAATCATATCTCTCCTGGCTTGGCTGGAACCCTTTCATGCCCGTGGTGTATACTATTACAGGATGTTTGTATATGTTGTACTATACAGTTGTTAAGGATGGTGGCTGATGATGTCATGGGGCACATCCCATGTGACCAACTCTACCGTGTGAGAGAGTTGTATGTAAAAATAAGACAAATAGGAACCCTAATTTTCCACGCTTCAAGCGTGTAAAATCCTGTTCGAGATGTGCCATGGCAAAAAACTCGCATCAACCACTGAATGGTAAACTTATGCCAAACCTGATACCAGCTGGTCCCTGGCAGGATATATTGGTTGATTTCAGAACAGATCTACCCAAATTGAATGGGTATGACTCAGTGATGGTGGTTGAGGATTGCTTCTCCAAAGAAGTAGTGTTCATTCCCACCAATAAAACTATCACCACTGCTGGTATGGCAGATCCATTTGACAATTTTGTATGGTCTATCCATGGGTTACCTGAAATGGTTATCTCTGATCAGGGACCTCAATTTGCTAGCAAATGTACAAAAAAACTATGTCAGATGCAGGGCATCAAATCTAAGTTATCAACGGTGTACCAAACACAGACCAATAGACAAACAGAGAGACTCAGTCAGGAATTGAAACAGTATCTCCAGATATTTATTAATGATAAGCAGACAGATTGGGCCAAGTGACCAAAAATAGCTTAGTTCTCATATAATGTCAAATAGTCGTCGGCTACAGGAAAAGCACCATTTGAGGTTACAAGGTTGTACCTCCCCAGAATGGGTGTAGAACCTGGCAAAAGCAAAAACAAGGCTGTGAGAACATGGCCAAAGATATGAAGTCTGTAGAAGTTGCCTAAGCTCAGGAAGGCCCTAACTGCTTTGATGTGAGTAGGTTCTGGCCATTCCAAAATAGCTTGAACTTTCTCAGGATCCATCCTGATTCCATTCTGGCCTATTATCATACTGAGGGAGTTTACTTCCTTCATTTCAAAATTACATTTTTCAGATTTGACAAATAGATCCTGTTCCTGTAAGCGTTGAAGGACTTTTTGCATGATCCTATCATGCTCAGCCTCATTGTCTGACATTATAAATATTGATAAATCATCAATGTAAATGACAACACAGTTTTCCATATCCACAAAAATCTCATTCATCATACTCTGGAAGGTTGCCGGTGAATTGGTCAACCCAAAGAACATAACAAGGGGTTCGAAGGATCCTCGGTGGCACGTGAACGCAGCCTTTGAAGCATCTTTTTCTTTGATTTGTACATTCTTGTACTCCCATCTGAGATGCATCTCTGTTAAGATGAGTTCACAGGTCTGCAAATTAGTCCGCAGAGTCCGCACTTTTGAGTCTACACTGAGTGGATACGTCACAGCAAGTTGCAGTCTTGCTAGAAAGGCAGCAAAAAAGTGTGTGAACAATAATACAAGTGGAGGATGAATATAGGGCTGAGAATACAACAATATGATGACTCCTGAGAGTCCACATTTTGGGTCTGTACAAGTGGAATGTCACAATAAGCTCTGCACTTGTTGAAAATATGGCTATATGGCTGGAGAACGTCTACAACACTTCTGAGGTGACTATGGTGACTTATTCAGATGAATTCTGAGTTTTCCTTCCTTTTGGAAGTACAGTTTTGTAGTAGTACCCAAAGAAAATAGAACAATAGCATAAAACATATAAGAACCAATGGGAGAAACAAAGGATAAATACTAAAAAGTGTCCATATGAAAATGTAAGAAAAAGTGAGCCATTTCCAAAGTCCAGACAGTCCCATATCATCAGGGACAACTCCTATAACCCATAAAAGGAAAGGGGTAGTTGATCCGTGGACACCCGTAATGCTCTGGAGTCTAAGTGGAGGCTTGCACATGAGTAGAGTGCTGAGTTAGCTCCTTATCCAATGGGTCCAAAATCCAAAAGGTGCAGACCCTATGTGTCTGCAAACATGGGCTCTGCAGACTGTTACATATTGATGCATGGATTGTTGTAGAACTGGATTTATATGTTGGGAAACAATGGGATTACAATGCCAGCATCTAATTCAACTCTACAACACTCTTTGGAGCAATGTTTGGATATAGTAAAAGGGCTAACACCAGTCTGCTTGGCAATGGCTTTATCAGAGTAGCCAGCATCAAGTAATAAAAGAATGAATTTTTGAGTAAGAAAAAGGGATCTGACCATGATGGTGGTTGAAAAACAAGAAGTGTGACGATACACAATTTTTGGACCTTTAAATTTATTTTCCTCTTTAACTTTCTTCTGGAGTTTTCCCACATTGTGCCATGTGGCACTTTCCATGTTGTTCAAATTCCACTTTCTCGCGCTGCACTGCCTTTCATTATTTTTAGCTACATGTATCTCACGCAGTGGGGCTGGTCACATGGGCTGCGCCCTATGACATCATCAGCCACTGCCTCCATCAACTGTATAGTACACATGTACAAACAACCTGTAGTAGTATATATACCCCAATAGATCCAGGAGACTCCTCAGTGAGTCCTCTGTTGTTTACTCACAACAAACTCGGTCCTATCCAAAGGGTAACCACTCCCCTCACTTCTTTATAGCTGTGTCTGAGTTGTGCGCCAGAGTATACAAACTTTTGGTTGTAACAAGAAGTGTGTGAACTTTTTTAAATTCAGACATACTATTTATATATATATCTAACATATAATAGCAAATATTCAATGTTTTAACGTTTTCACTGAGGTTCTAGTTATCAGTTCAAAAGTGAAAAAACCCTTGTCATGGTATTGCTGTTTTAAATTGACCATATCTCCATAGCATGTGAACCAAATCACATGACCTATGGGGCAATTTTGTACCGAAGAGTATATATTATTGATAATTCTCCCAAAGCTTAGTATAATACTCAAGTTATTACATTTAGAGTCAACATGGAAAGTGTGTTTGAAGTCACTGTATATGTTTTGGCTCTCAAGCTACTGTGGAGAACTATAGGGGAAATAAGCCTTAAATTTGAAAATATGCCCAATTTAATATCTGAAAGAGGATTAATAAAGCTTTTTTCTCTATATTATCCTTCTCTCAAAACTCCAATAGCAGAGCCAGACCCTTGCAAAAATGGGGTAAATTTTGTTTACCAAGTGGAGTTACTGTTACAATAACACAATTTTTGGATCTTTCCTTCTTTTTCATTCTCCACTTTAACCTTGTACACTTTAGCTTTCACACATGGTGCCACGCGGCACTTTCCCTTTTGTTCAAACTCCTCTTTCTCGCGCCACATTGCCTTCTTCTTATTTTAGATACAACTCTCTCACACAGTGGAGCTGGTCATACGGG